CCCCTGAGGAACAGATCCTTAAACGACCTTAAGAGTAAAAATAAATTGATTTATCTGGGCCAATTGTGTGGCCTTAAACACCCAAAAGGAAAGTATAACCAAAGATTAAAGGGGCCAATATAATTTCATAAGAGTCCATATGTATAGCTAAAGGCTACATAACAAGCAACCGTGCCAGGCAGGCGATACCATTTTTTTGAGTTGTTGGCCGGGGTGGCCAAAGGGATTCCCAGATAGTAACCCAGCATAGAACTGGGAAAATGAACAGCAGACCCCAATCTTATCCAAAGGAATATTGACAACTGATTACCAATAGATGAGGAACAGCTGACCCTCCTAAAACAAAGACCTCTAGATAGGCTGACTAAATTCCCCAGAAGGGCAAGTAGTGGGGAATTGCTGGGGTGTGACAACACAGCAGACAGTAGCAGGGATATCAGAGTATAAGGGCTCTAGTGGGGAGAGGGAGGCTATGGGAGGGTGCTACCCAGGAAGTGGGTGTATGAAAAAAAATTCTTTAAAGCATAAAAATTTGCTCTTTAATAATTAGTAGATGTGAAAAACATTACCACTGAAATCTACCTGATGACTTTATATCCATGCTCAGATACCAAGGAGCTCAGAAAGTAACTGACTGTGACTAGTAATAATCAGATATATAGAGATTAGAAACGCATATGCATCTTAGTGTCAATTGTATTAAAAATGAATTTTTCTGTATGAAACTGTGTATTTTAGTAATGAAATGGAGATATTTTTAAAGTTTAAAACCTCATTTAATTGTATGTTTTATAGGGTTTATGCAGAGTACAATATTGTATAACTGTATTAATTCAACTGTAAACCTAAAAATTTACAGCCAACTTTGAAAGAGAAGCATCTTAGCTCTGGAAATTGTTATTGAATATGTCAATGCTGTTGTAATGAAATGCCTCTTCTAATTATATGGTTATTAAACAAATAATTTAAAAAAAAGGATGTGTATTCTATGCTTGTCTGATATTCTGATTAGTTTTTATTGTCAACTTCACACATCCTAAAGTCACTTGGGAAGAGGGAACCTCAGTAGAGTTATTTCCTCCTTCAGCTTGGCCTCTGGGTATTGTCCTGATTGCTAATTGATGTATGAAGGCCTAACACTGTGTGGGCAGTGCCATTCTTCAGCAAGTGGTCCTGAGTTGTGTAAGAAAGCTACTGAGCATCAGCCAGTAAGTGAGCCAGCAAGCAGAGTTTCTGTATGGTTCCTGTTTCCAAGTGAATGCCTTTACTTCCTGCTCTGACTTTCCTCAATGATGGTTTGTGACTCGGAAGTGTAAATCAAATAAACCTTTTCCTACTCAAGTTTCCTTTAGCCATAGTGTTTATCACAGCAACATAAAGCGAACTGCAACACATGAGGATAAGAAATAGCAGGACTAACCAATGTAAGTTGAGGAGACCTGGAGGAAAGGATATGTATATATGTATATGTATGTATATAAACAATACCAAGGGGTTTTTGAACACATTAGAAAGTATTTGTTTCTAATAAAAATGAAATTGGAAGGCTTACTCAAGTCCCCTGGATCCCTGAGAGTTGCTATTTATCAATGGTAAGGCCTGGTGCTAGGGTGGGCTTAGTTGGGTCATTCACATGACACGTGGGAAACACACAACTTAAACATATTTTAAACTTACTCACATTAAGCCAAGAACATGATTATTAAATTCAAGTAAAGGAAATGACTAGTATAACCACACAAGATTCTACTTCCTAATGGAATTAGTGAAGGGAGAATAACAGTGATGGAGAGAGGAGAGAGAGAAGAGAGAGGAGAGAGAGGAGAGAGGAGAGAGACAGAGAGGAGAGAAGAGAGAGGAGAGAGGGTTTAAAAAAAATAAGTAGAAGGAAGGAACGAAGGAAGGAACGGAGAGAGAACTAGGGAAAGAAGGAAGGGAAGGGAAGGAAGGAAGGAAGGAAGGAAGGAAGGAAGGAAGGAAGGAAGGAAGGAAGGGTGACAGGAGTTTTATTTACAAGTCATTATCTTGGAAGACGGCAGGCTCTCCTCTTTCAAACACCAATTTCCTCCTTCCTCGATGGGAAAAATCTCCTACATGACTTTTCAAGGGAAGTTGTTTGGCTTAGACAGCTGGGTGCCTAATCTGCCCAATGTTTTAAACATCTTATTTTGAATGTTTCTTCTCGTCTTCACCTAGATCTACAAGAGTTATAGTCAAGAGGATCTAAAGAAGACACAAATGATACAAGTTTCTGTGTTATTAATATGACTTACGCCTGGTTTTTCTTGGGTTCACCATTTCCAGCAAGCAGCCATTCAGATCAAACTTTCTGAAGTGTTTCTAAGCTATATTACCACTATGCATTAAAAAGCAGCTTGACTTTTAGCATCCATTTTAAGGACAAGAGCAGACCTGATCTGCTGAGAACATGTTGCTTCAGCATTCTTTGAAAACTGTGCTCCCAACTAGGGCTTTGCTCATTCTTTATTGAAACAGTATATTCACCATGAAGTGCGAGAATAAAAGTCAGACCTTTAAGTTATCATAGTGTCTTTTCCTTTTCTGATTCCTAGACCTAGACCAACAGACACACACAATCAAAAACTGATGTTATTCATTTCTCTCATTGATTTCCATGAGCTAAACACTGTTTGAGCAGCTTTGCTACTTTAATATGCAAAATATACATACACAGATTCATACCCTCGCTTGAGTGGAGGGCAAGGAAAAGTCCTGAGGGATTGAGGTCATATATCCAAGGTCATAAGAGGAGCACATTGTTCAGTGGGCTTGTTTACATTATAAGCAAGCCTAAGGTGCATAGTTAAATAAAAGGCATCTGTCCAGAGCATGTCTGTATTATAAAAGTTTTATCACAAATTTCTATAACAGGACTAAGTAGAGATCACATAGGGAGGGTTTGTATAGTCCTGGCTCAATTTAGTGTACAACTACTGTGTAATGGGTAGATTTCTGAGGGAAGTTACTCTTTTTGGAAGGAGACTGAAGTTTATTTGAGAGAAAACAGACCACTGGGCTGCCTCTCGGGGAGCACAGAAACAGCAGCAAGCAGGGGAGGTCAGACATCTTTTACAGGCAGTTAGCTGGCTGGGTAACTTTCCATGATGTAGGCTGGGCAGTTTAGCTCAGGATTGGTTGGTCTCCCAGTAAGCAGAGGGACTTTTCTGGGGCTAAGCCCGGACCCACCATTTTAGAATGTTGGGAGCTGTGCTTCCAGTTTTAGGAGCCTGCCAGGAGCCTATCATTCCAGCCTTTTGTTGACGATAAGGAGTGATGGTGGTCTTTCTTTAGCTACTTCCTGCTGGACAGAGACATTGGCAAAGAAGAGTGGTCTCAAAAGGTTGGAACATTTGTCTGGAGTGTGGGATCAAGTGGGCAGGAAGGAAGAGACCTGAAGGAATTTTTTTAAGAGCATCTGGTTCACTGACCATCGGGTTATCTCACTGATTCTGTCCTGAAAAAATTTAAAAGTCACAGAATAATCATTATTATGAGGAGGATAGATATCAGTGGGCCGAGGAGAAGAAGAGAGGTAAAAGCAAGAGTAGTTAGGCACAAATTCTAGGAGAAGTCAGAACAGGCTGAATTTTCAAATCAGAGTTTCTTGGTTGAGTGTTTCCAAAAGCATCCATCTACTGGTTTTCCCCCATTTTTTCTTTCGGTGATCATGGCTAGACTTGGATGTGCTTTTCAGGCACTTTCATAATTGTTGGTGTGACTAGAATCACAGTGTGAGTTCCCTCCAAAATGGCCTCTAGACAGGGCAAGAGAAGAACTTTAGCCATCATTTAATTTTTAGATGAAAATCGTGATTTTTGTTTTGTTTTGTTTTGTTTCCTTTTGACTACAGGTAGGGACTTCAGAGTTGATTAGGCAAGGATCTGAAGTCTTACAAATGAGCAGCATTTTCTTATTAAGAACAAAGTCATTAGTGAGAAATTGTCTAAATAACATCTTATATTAACTTAAGCCTAATGTCTTGGAAGCTCAGTCCTTTGGACTCTTAAAGAAATACGCCAATCATTTTACTCTTTGGTTATACTTTCCTGTCAGGTGTTTAAGACCATGCATTTGGCCCAAATAAACCAATTTATGTTTACTCTTAAGGTTGGTTGAGGATCTGTTCCTCAGTGGTCACACGAACTTGGGAGGAGAGTCTGGCTCCTTAGGCTTTTCTTTTACCAGGTCCATCTGTGTGGGGAAAAATCAAAGGTCCTGCTTGACCATGACTTCACTTGGAAGCATGGAGGAAACTTTCCTCTCTGTTGACCCTCCTTTTGATAGATCGGATGATGGTTCAAGTGCATCTGGTGGGGTCTCCATGGTCTCCCTGAACAAGAGCGTAGGTGACTTACCACAGTTATAGAACACTGGTTCGAGTCCTTCTAGTGGGATCTCCATGGCCTCCCTGAACAGGAGGACAGGTGACTCATCACAGTTACAGGACACTTCAAGAGATGTTCCATAGTCCCTGGGACTTAGTCAACCTTGGAGGGCAAGGAACAAAAATTGTCCCTGTAAGCCCCTCCGACCACATTAGTACAGGCCTCAAAGTATGGCTATTAAACACCCAAGAAGGTTAGTTACACTAATCTGGTACTTTAGTTACCATGTAATATAGAGATAAAGCTTTGGCTAAATCAAGCTTTCTCAGATAAACCTTGAATACACATATATTTTGTTCCTTAAACTAGTTGACTAAACTGT